AAAGACGATTTATTTGCTCATTATATTTTTTGAAATTTAATAAATACAAAAGTGCGATAAAATATTTTTTCTCATTTCAAAGCGCACAAGAAAAATATTTTTACAATAATCATCATCAAAGATTAGATGTAGCCCCTGTTTGGTGATATTTTTTGGAAAAATATTGTTTTGAATAGTAAATTTTTGGGGAATGTGTAATAAAAAATTAAAGAAAAGTTTTGAGTTTACGTCTAGAATATTTTATTGAGTGAATGTGGTTGAAAATAAATATGTAGAAAAAAGAATTTTGAAAGAATGAGAGACAAATAAAAACGTAATAATTAATGAAAGGTTGAATATATGAATTTGAAGAATAAAAATTATGAACATAATTGTTACAATAAGTAAAAGTTGAGGATCTTAAATGCAATAAATATATATATGCAACTAATAAAGTAACGTGGTGTGAATATAATTATTTTTTTAATTTTTCCAGCGATAGTAGGATCAAATAAGCTAGTTGGATCTAGACATAATCAATTTTTTTAAAAAATAATCATTTTTCTTGTTAAAAAATCCTTTTATTGATGAAATGTATAATTAAAAAATTAATAAAAATTATGAATCTCGTTAAATATATATTTAATAATTTTTAAAGTTATCCCAAACAACCAATTCACGATGTTAAACTATTGACTTGAACAAAAAAAAAAAAAAAAAAAAACAGTGGCAATGATGAATTTTATGCATATTGCACACGTTTACAAACAAATGTATGGTATGTATGGTCTATGAAAGAATAAAAAGAGAAAAAGCCAAAAGAAATAATGAAAAGGTCGTTCCTAGATCAGAGGGCCAATGCAAGAGGCATGTGCAAAAATCGTAACCCTAAAAGCCACAATTGAAAAAAGAAAAAGTCGATTTGCTTTATGAAGAATGAGATGGAATATAAACATTTATGGTTCACTTTTCTGATACACCGAAAGAAAGAAAAAAACTCAAAAATAAAAGAAAAATAAAATTAAATAGAAGCGTCAAATTTATTATTAATAGAATGAATGAACGAAGAGCATTCGCAAGTGAACATTACACTCCACATCCTAAAAAAATGCCTTACCCAAGGGCGCAGCCAAGAAATTAGAGTTGCGGAGACTAATTTCACAAAATTTTAGTTGTGGAGACAAAATTGAAAATTATAAGAATTTTTTTTTTTTTTAAATCTTGAAATATCTATCGTAAAATCTTGGATTTCAAATTTAGCCCCCATTATTCCCCATTAAATTATAATTTATTTTTATCTCTTTTTATCAACCACACATCCTCCAATAAAATAATATTACACGTAAATCTAAAAATATTTCCTTTTTTTAATTACACATTCTCCAAAAAATTACTCATTTTAATTTGGAATAACAGGGGCCCAACGGGGGCTTAGTGTAAATGCAGCGGCCCCCAATGCATATTCGCCAATGGCCTTACCTTCAAATATTCTCAAATAAAAATATGAAATTTTACTAATTAATTTGCTTACTAATATAAAAAAGCTATGGATAAAACGTGTTAGACAATTACATATGTAGGTGCCAAACCGAATCCAACCGGATTGAATCGAAAGATTTTTCATAAGTTAAATACCTGAACAGGTATATGAATCGAGAACCGATGAGTTTGGTTCGGTTCTCGGTTCTAAACCAAAAATCGAAAAATTGAATAACAACCGATTCTAAATAATTTTTTTAAATTTTTTATATTGGATTAATTAAATTATTTTAATTTTTTCTAAAAATATTAGCAAATTAACTAATTTAGTGATTAATGCTTCAACTCTCAAGCCAATTTCATGCCTAACTAGCCCAACCCAAACCAATTTTTAAATTCAACTTTTTGCTTTAATTTTTTTGCCCAATTATTAATTTCATTGTTAGCCCAAGATCTAGGTGTTTTTAATTTTTTATCCTTCCCTCTCCAATTTCATACTTTCATTCGATATTTTTATCATTTCCTTCCCGATTGATGAAATTTAAATGTTGTATTGAAAATGAAAAGATTGTATGCAGAAAACTTGTTATTTTAGATGTTTCTACTAGATAGAATTCAACATTCTTAATATTAGATAATGCATTTAATTTGTAAAAGTTACGAATGAATATGTCATTAGTTGTATTTATATAGTGTTGTTGTAAATGTTAAAAAATTTAATTATGGTATGGAACGGAACGGAACGGAACATGAACGGTTCCATAATTATATTTGGACCCGACTGTTCCATTTATTAAATACCAGAAAATTTTGGTTTGGAGAACCAAACAGGACTATATCTAACCCTATACAAAAGGACCTTGCTACTTGTACAAAAGAATTTGTACAAAAATGTTGACAAACCCTCACATGTTGGGGGGGTCCACTTTTTATTTTCAATTTTTTATTCATGTGGGGCCGGCAATCATGTGAGTGTTTGTCAACATTTTTGTCAAATTCTTTTTGTTCAAATAGCTTTATTCCTATAAAAAAATGCCTTACCCAAGGGCACAGCCAAGAAATTAGAGTTGCGGAAACAAATTTCACAAAATTTTAGTTGCATGAGACAAAATTGAAAATTATAAGGATTTTTTTTTTTTAATTTTGAAAAATCTATTGTAAAATCTATTGTAAAATCTTGGATTTCAAATTTAGTGTAGATGCAGCGGTCCCTACTGCAGATCTTCCAATGGCCTTACCTTCAAATATTCTCCAATAAAAATATGAAATTTTACTAATTAATCTGTTTACTAATATCGAAAAGCTACGGATAAAACGTGTTAGACAATTACACCTTTAGGTGAAATCAACACGATTTTGTCTAACAAACCGTACTAGGAACAACGTTATTTTCACGTTAAAATTTCCCATTTACACAGGTTTTAAGTTGATACTTTGAGCCGAATGACCATTAATTTAATTGTTAAAAATTTGAGTGACTACTATAATAAGAAAATTACTTTATTGATCCTTTTAAAAATTTTAACAAACTTCAGTGATCGTTTCTGAAATTAAGATTCGAACTGCGAAACCAAACATGCCCTGAAATTAAGTGAAACTGCTTTTAACGTCAGACAAACACAGTCTTAAATTTTGAATTATTGAGAAGCTCCAAACTTTAACACACAAAAGTTAAACTATGAAACGAAGTGCCAAAAGGCTGCAGCTGTAAACAAAAAAAGTATATTAGGCGTCCAATCATGTTGCACGCCTTTAGATGCCGGCTATATCACATAAAATTTATTTCATATATTTCATAGTTGTTGAACATTTATTTTAATTTAAATTGATTATTTAAAATTTATCTATTAATATGCCTTAAAATATGACACATTACTACAAAAAAAATTATGAAATACAACAATTTCTTGTGTCATCTTAAATTTAATTTCTAAAATATATTATAATTCATCTACATATGACATGTATTGGACTTCAACAAAGCTTCCCACACACACACATTGGGTCTCGTTAATAATCTTTTTAAAAGTATTGATGAATGAATTGCTCGTTTAGTGTTTGATAGCAGGTGACTCATAAGAAGAAATGACTGTTAAAACGATATTGAATTTGTGAAAAAATAACTGAAAGAGGATTATAACACAAACTAAGATATTTAACGTAAAAATGAAATTCGGAATAATCGTGTTTCTAGCATTTATAGTTTCGTTCTTCAATTCATTTACCCATAATAAAGTGTAAATAGTACTGCTTTTGCCTCAATTTTTCGATTAGTGTAGAAGACAAGTTATTTATATTAGAGAAGATATTTGGCCTAATTCAATTTAACAAAATCGATTTGTTGGGGGAGGATTGCCTTCACCTTATTAAGTGGATCGTGTAAATATTACCAGCCAATGTGAGACTCTAATACGCCTCATCACGCACAGCGTTAACCATGCCAAACAATTGTGAACAAATCGATATTAGGTGCATCCAACATTGCAAAACTAGACCTGCTTTGAGACCATGTGATATTGTGTTTTTGTTATACATTATAGGCAGATGAAATACAGAGTATAAATAGGGTTGTTCAAAGTTAAGATGACGTGTTAGCGTGAAGTTCAAAGCTCGACCATGGCCTTGTCTGGGTGCGCTAGCCAGCAGAATTCAAACCGCTGCTTTCACTATTTCGCCTACAATGTTTGACTGAGCTGTGTCTTGATAGGGCAGAAAGTGTTGAAGAAAACGGCTACTAAATTACTTTTTTGGTTACAAAAATCTCCTCCAGACAAGATCCATACCACGTCTAACACATTCTTGCAATCACATATGGGTGATAATTTGTATTGGATGATTATTTGATGAAAGTTGAAATGTTTATCAAAACACTTTCTTGTTTACAACATTCTTCAAAATTGATTACAAGATTCCTTCAAATAATCAGGAAACTACGTCATTTCAGCTTTAACCAACAAAATAAGTTAATTATTTTTATAAAATTCTCATTTATACAAGTACATTTTTAAAATAAGCCAATTATGAACTAATTAATGCTGGACACATCTGATCATATCATGCATCGAAAAGGTTCCAACCCTGGACGTATGTTGTACCATTTTTACTGCTTCCAAAAGTCGTACCATTGCAGGATTTTGAAGCTTAACAGTAAAAGAAAAAAACCAGTGTGTAAAATTACCAAACGAGATACAAATTTATTACCCAATTATTATTATTTTATTGACATAAAAGTAGGATTTTTACCCTTGCCGACATATGCTACTCTCTCCCCCCTACAGCCCCACGTGAATTCTGAAGTTCCTAGTCTGATCACCCACACCCCTGGCCCCTGCTGCCCTGCCTCTCTCTCTCTACTTTTCTCTGTCATCTTCTTGATCCTATGCGACGCGGAAGAAGAGAGAGAGAGAGACCCTTAAGTACTTTTTTAATGATAAATTCCAAGATTAAACTCTGTACAAACATTTTTGGACGGCTTGATTTCCAATCCCTATTTTGTCGAATTTTCCTTATTATCACATACGATTTTTGGGGTGGATTGATCTTTAGTTCCAGTCTTCGGGGCAGTACCAATGGAGGGTCGGAGCTTGATCATCTGAAAAGAAAGTACTGCATGATTCGTCACCGAAAAAATTGTGTTCCTCAATCCTGACGAACTGTGGCTGATAAGCTTTGTGGGCATCTCGAGTGAAATTTGTTTTGGGGTCTGAAAACTGGAAAGTGCAAGCCATAGATGAACTGGATCCATTCTGTAAGTCTAAGAATGGATGTGGGCTAACCCCACTAGCAGATGAAGAAATAGCAGCAGTAGGGCTATTGTTGTCTTCATTCAGGATTGCACTTGAATCAGTACTATCAGAGGATCCATCTTTTAAATCAGTAAAAACTGATGCAGAAATTATCCCATTGGTGCCATTGAGATTCTCCAAGTGCAGATCAGAGGCATCTTTATCACATTTAGTCAGAGAATTCAATGTGGTTGCAGCTTTGCATTTTTCATCAGTTTCAGACACGATTTTTTCTTCCTTCACACATACTTTGCTTTCACTTGCGCCATCTTCATTTAGCTTCGATTTCAGCTCCCGAATCTACCACATAATAAATTTCGAACAAGCAGTTAGTAAGAAGGAAAACTATGGATGCAACTGAAAAAATGTTAGAGTACATATTTTGTTGACACTAGAACCCGTTTATATAGCATAATCGACTAGGGATTGAATATCGAACAAGGTCGTAAGTACCTCTTTCAGTAGAGTTTCATTGTCCAGTTGGAGAGTTTCATAATTGTGCTTGAGGGCATCAAAATTGGCTTTGAGTATGCCATAATCTCTCTCTAATTGTTTGGTTTTCCACCGTGCACGGCGGTTTTGGAACCAAACAGCCACCTGTCTTGGCTGCAAACCAAGTTCTTGTGCCAACTTAGCTTTTCTCTCCGGTTCAAGCTTGTTTTCCACTTCAAAATTCTTCTCCAATGCTTTCACTTGATCAACACTTAATCTCCTTTTCTTTTCGGCCATGTGGCCACCTGATTCTTCCATACAACCTTCCTCATCTAAACCCTCCAATAAGGCCTGGAACTCCCCCGTGTAAACATGATTGTTCCCTTGATTATGTTCACCTACAACAAAACGTACACAGACAAAACATATTCAGTACTAAATGTTTACACATCAAGAATTTCGAGGTGTTAAAATACAGGAACAAGTAAACATGGCGAGGGTATGTTTGAATCATTGCGATTACACAAGAAATTCCATTCAAATTGAAACAAACAAGTGCAAAAGAATATTTTTCAAACATGCACCTGTAGTGTTGGGACAGATAATCATAGCGCCCAATGAACTAGAACTGCCAAGTCTCTTCATTGTGGGTGCCTAAGCAAATGATACAGTCTCTCTTCGGATCTAACAAATCAAAATAAAAATTGAAACAACCCTTATCCTCGTTTTTTTGAAATTTAGTTAGCAAAATAGTTTAAAGGAGAGATTGTTTGTCTGTTTCGACTCTTTTAAGAGCAAGACTTTTCATTGCAAGGCCAAATTCCCATGATCCAAACAATTCCAAAGGGCACAGTTTAGTATGCACGAAATTTTACTCTTCAGCTTTTGCTCTTTCTTGGGTACTCCATTTTTCCCCTTTATCACTTCCTCTGCCTCTGAACCCATCAAAAGAAAGGGAAAAGAAAACCCAAAACCCAAGAAAGACGAAAAAGAAATGTATGACTTTAAGGCCAATAAACCCAAAACCCAAAAAGAAGAAATCAAGAACTGCACTACTTTTTCTTCCCTCCTAGTTTCCTTTACATGATTTTCAATCGATTCAAAAAACCATTTTTTAAAAACACTTATGATCTACAGAAGAAAAGATGAGGGATTGGGGGGTTGGGGATGGCGAGATTTTGAAAGACCAGTTCAATACCCAGCTACTTTCTCTTACAATTTGTGTGTTTAAATAAAGGGTTATTGCACCAATGAAATGAATCCCAAATTGAAGGCAAATGCAAATTTTGGTCCACCGGCAATTGCCGGTAATTTTCGACCGTTTTGAGGGGAGATTTTTTTTTTTAAGCCGATGTTTGAACCACATTCTCATTCTTCTACTCATTTTTAACAATACATTCTTCAATTAAATAATATTTTTCATCATATCAATAAATTTTCCTTCTTTTTCAACCACATATTCACCATCACATCACAAAAAATAAATACATTCTCTCTTAAAAAATGTGCATCAAACACACCCTAATTATTTTGTAATGTGGTGATAATTGATAAGTGGAAAGTAGGAGTCAGCCCTTGTTTGACACCTATTCTCGTCCAATTTTCATTTTCATTCTCCTTTTTTTTCCTCTTTCTTCATTTTAACCACACATTCTCCAAATAAAATAATATTGCTTACAAATCTAAAAATTTTCATCACTTTTCACCATACATTATCTCATCAATCGGTATTTTAAAAATTATATTCTCATTTTAATGAGATTCAAACACAAGCTCGCTCGGATGAGTCTAGATTGTGAAGATTTGGTAGCGTTAGCGTATCATATGGGTGCTCTTACGGTCTGGTTGGTGCATGTAATGGTTAATTATTTGTAGAACCCATGAGTAATTCTGCCAAATTCACTATTTATAAGAGTAATGATTTACCAATTATGGCTTCTTCTCTTAGCTTAAACAATCGTGACATGACACATCAATTAATAGGTAAATAACAAATTCAATTCAAATTTTAAGGTTCACTACAAACTTATCTACCAATAAATAAATGTGACATGTCATCAATACTTACTATAAGCTAAGCGCGATAACTAGTAGATTATTTATTGTATTTACAATAAGAAAAGAGAGATTTCTTTATTATATCGTTCATAATTTAATTGCATAATCGTGTTGGAAGTATACAAAATTATGTGATTGTTAATTGTCGTTATTGTTTCTATGCCTTCTATGTTAGTATGAGAGCGTTGTTGTTCCTTATGAACTGGGATAGAAAATGAGAACGAGGAGAAAACAGAAACTTATCACATATTTTAACCTCTATGTGGATACAAATTTGTAAATTCAATAAAATGAAACAATCATAACTACCATGTTATTATTATCCTCCTAAATGATATTCCAGTTTGGCTAACCTGATACGAAGTTTTGCAAGTGGGTTTTAACTGCGGCATACTCATCATCAAACAGGAACCCACCAAGGGGACAATCTTTTGATCGTCATGCAAGGTAGGACCCTCTATGTAGAAATTCTCTTCATTCAAATATTTTTTTTGTTTAAATAATATATCTTGGTTGATGATTATACGTTTTACTGATCTGTCAAGATTAACAATCATATATAAATAATGAATTTCAAGACTACTTTAAGCCTCCGTTCGATGCTCTTTAAAAAGAATTTTTGAGATAAAATGAATTTTGAAATAGTGATTTTCTAAGGAATATATAGAGCATGTTTGGTAGGGTTTAAAATCCAATTAAAATTGAAAATATAGCTGTTATTATGTCTCACTCGTCTAATAAAAATTAACAATAACGGTTAGTTTTTTAATTTTAATCCGATTTTAATCTCAATCGAACACGTCCATAATTAAAAGTATAAAAAACAATTTAATTTATGTACAAAATATTTTATGGGATAATTGCAGCTGCGGTCCCAAACCTTTCGATTTTTTGCGCACTTTACCCTAATCTTTGATTTGTACCAGGCACAGTCCCAAACCTTTAAAAAATTCGCACATACGGTCCAAATGGATGGAAATCATCCAAATCGCCGTTAGTCAACCAAAAAAAGTAGATGTTGACCAATTTTGACCTAATTAAAAAGGGTAAAATAGTAACTTTGCCATTTATTCCATAAAACAATTAAAAAAATAAAGAAAGAAACTGTTGAGTCTTCTTCTCCAACCCACACCATGCCACCCCACCCCCTCACCCACCCACCCACCCACCCAAATTATCTGCCTCACGCAACCACGGCGACGGCCAAAAAAACTCCCGAAAAACCACCCCCAACAATCTCAAAGCACCCCCCAAATTGTGGTCATCCCATTCCATCAATCAAGCACTCAAAATTTCCAAATTTTCAGAAACATTTTCCCGCAGTGCACAATGTTAATCCAACTATCCAAAATTTCAGTAACATAGCCATGGCCTTTTCCCTTTTTCACACAACCACCACCATCGCCTGACGTCCGTCACCTACCCCATCACCTTCTTCTTCCCCAACCCCAAAACCACCTCCCAAATCCACCATCATTCTGCAAAATCAATTAACCAATTATTTGCAAAATAAGTAATTAAATACCCACGGATTTAACTCAAAACCAAATCTTTTTGAGTAGTTAACAATACGGCGAACAATAACAGCAGCCGAGAGTACTGAATTGCTGCAGACGTAGTGATCGAGGAAATTCTTAGCAAATTCTTGGGTCATCATGCCGGGCTAAAAGGGTTCTTATGACAATGGGTAGTGTTAAAACTCTGTTTGAGGGGAATGGTCCGATATGGGTTTTTGAGAAGTTCGGATCTTGACAGAAGTTTGGGGGTCTGAGGTAGGTTCTTTGCTAATATCGTCAATGTTTGAGGGAATGGTTCGAAAATTAAATGAAGGGAAGTGGAAGGAGAAGCTGATGAATTAGATTTGCGAAGGATGAGAGAATGGTGGTGGATTTGGTAGGTGGTTTTGGGGTTGGGGAAGAAGAAGGAGATGGGGGTGATGGTGACGAAGGCCCGGCGGTGGTTGTTCCAGCACCGTTGCCGGCGAAGGGAAGAGCACTGCGCCACTGCCGGCACCGTTGCCTGGGAAGAGCGACTTTTGGTTTTTATTTTTTTCTATTTTTTGTTTACTTATTTAATTTTTAAAGTGAAACTAATGTATGGACTAAAATACCCCTCATTGAAATGGTCAAAATTAATTTTCCATGTTGACTAACGGCGATTTGGATGATTTCCATCCATTTGGACCGTAGGTGCGAATTTTTTAAAGGTTTGGGACTGTGCCTGGTACAAATCAAAGGTTAGGGTAAAGTACGCAAAAAATTGAAAGGTTTGGGACCCCAGCTGCAATTATCCCATATTTTATTGTGAGAATATATAATTAAAAATAATTTTTTTTTAAAAAAAAAAGAGCTTTTGGAAAATGGTACAAACATGGGTTGATTCTTCAGTTCTTCTACAACATACATAACAATAAATATGTTCACATTTATAAATAAAGATAAGAGACATGAACAAGTTTTATAATGAGATGATGGTTCTCCTTCCTTTTTGATTATTATTTTTAGTGTTAGAATTTGGATGTGACCTGAATTCTTTTTGAAAGATAATTGGGAGTTCTAATTAAAGTACACATTAAGAAAAAATTTATTTGGAATGCTATTGTGAAATCATCTTCAAGTTTCCTTGGCAAATCCTAATTGAAATTCCAATTGAAAGTAGGAATTTGTTTTGGACTTGAAAAAGACATTAGGATGAAGAAAATCAAGTTTTGAAATAAAGGACCCAAGAATGGGCACCGTAGCGCCATGATGTTTTTGGCTCGGTACTCCTCGGCACCACCTGGTTGTTTGCCTTACACGTCTTTTTTGTCCTCTACTCCATTTCTTATATTTTACTTCAACTACAACTATACTATTAGGGTTTGGACATATCCTATAGTTAAATAATTGAAGATTAGGATACATAATTCTTACTTTAATAATCAATGAAGATACATGATTTTATACAAGGATAGAAAGCTTCTGGAATGGGCCAATAAGAAGCTTAACTAATCCTACTAGCTGGCCAACAAAACGGATTCCATTTCTTGAAAATAAGGAGCTGCAATGTACTGATGTCTGCTGCTCCAAAATCGTATGCTGGCTGCTGATGAATTCTAACTCACCCTTCAAGGTGGAGCGTGTTCAAGCACTCCTAGCTTGTCTCTAAGGAATTGAAATCTTGAGTGTGACATAGGTTTAGTTAATATGTTTGCTGTCTGATCCGAGGAGGGAATATATTGAATTTTCAGCTGGTTATCCAATACCTTATCCTTTACAAAGTGTGCATCGAGTTCTATATGTTTTGTATGAGCGTGATATACAGGATTTAAGGCTAGAGCACTTGCACTCATACTATCACACCAGATAATAGGTACTGATTGTTGTGGAATCTCCAACTCTTCAAACATAGACTGAATCTAAGTTATTTCTACTGCACAGTGAGCCAAAGCTCTGTACTGGATCTAGCAACTACGTGCTGTTTTTTACAGCACCATGAAACCAAAATTTCTCCAATGTACACGCAATATCCAGTAGTGGACCCTTTATCGTCTGGACAAGAGGCCCAGTTTGAATCTGCAAAAGCTGTGATGTCAAGGCTATCATCCC